AAGAATCACTTGAACCTGGGAGGTGGAGGTTGCAGTGAGCTGAGATCATGCCATTGTACTCCAGCCTGGGTGACAACAAACAAACAAACAACAACAACAAAAAAATGGTTTCTATCCAAAAGGCAGGCAATAACAAATGCTGGTGAGGATGTGGAGAAAAGGGAACTCTTAAACACTGATGGTGGGAATATAAATAAGTACAACCACTATAAAGAACAGTTTGGAGGTTCCTCAAAAAACTAAAAATTGAGCTACCATGTAATTCAGTAATCCCACTGCTGACTATATACCCAAAACAAAGAAAATCAGTATATAGAAGAGATTTGTTCACTCCTGTTTGTTGCAGCATTGTTTACAATAGCCAAGATTTGGAAGCAAACTTATTGATGTAAGTGTCCATCAACAGATAAATGGATAAAGAAAACATGGTACACATACACAATGGAGTACTATTCAGCCATAAAAAGAATGAGATACAGTCATTTGCAATAGCATGGATTGAACTGCAGATCATTATGTTAAGTGAAATAAGCAAGACACAGAAAGACAAACATCACATGTTCTCGCTTGTGGGATCTAAAAATAAAAACAATTGAACTTATGGACATAGAGAGAAGCACAGTTACCAGAAGCTGGGAAGAGTCGTGAGGAGTTCAGAGAGGGGAGGTGGGGATGGTTAATGGGTACAAAAAACCCCGCAAAGAATGACTAAGACTTACTATTTGATAGCACAATAGGGTGACTATAGTCAATAATAACTTAATTGTATATTTTAAAATAAATGAAAGAATGCAACCAGATTGTAATTCAAAGGATAAATGCTTGAGGGGATGGATACCTCATTCTCCATCATGTGCTTATTTCAGATTGCATACCTGTATCAAAATATCTCATGTATCCTATTAATATATATACCTACTATGTACCCACAAAAAATTTAAAATAACATTTTTAATAGATTAATACAATCTCTTACAAGCTATAGTAAAGTTTTCAAGGTTGAAATGCTATAGCTTTAAAATTTCTCTTTTTAGAACAATTATACTTTATATAACTTTCTGTATCAGTTGTGAATACATCCTCTGGGCTAAATGCATCACAACAATGAGATTTTGAAAGAATGTGATTTGCATTCAAATATATAGTATTGAATTCACATACTTAGAAAACACATACTAGTATATTTTAGAACAATTTTTCAAGAATAAAAAGATCAATATATAACTGGAACCTAATTTTTTGGATATGGAATAACTTGGACATATAATTTACATCTTTTAAAACTACTTTGAATAAAACAGAAAAAAAATTAACTCATCATACTTACAAATTACTGAATATCCCAAGGCCCTAAAAATATAGTTGTTTAGAGCAAGATGTTAAGACAGCCAGTGGATGCAATATATAATTTACATTTAAAATAATTTCAATTGCCATGTTGAATTTTTCCTTCAGCTTGGAGTATTAAATATGAATATACTTTATTTTAAAGTCCAATATATTGGTTAAGAATGCACCATTCTATTACCCTTAAAAAGCTAAGGTCACTGAAGAGTAAAGCATTTCTTCACTCTTCAAGCCTGAGCTATTTTTTTTTTTTTCCAAAATGTTCTCAGCTACCAATTTTGTTTTTAAATTCCCCAATACATTGTTGTACAAATCCAGGAAACAAACTCGGACTCTTGACCACAGCATTTTCAGCAGTCTTGATGTACCTGATAATATACATACTTCCTGTGTTTGTAATCTTGTAGCTTTAGTACAATATTAACCTTTTAAACGACACTAACAAACAACACTAATCTGTCCTCTTATATACACGTTATGGTTCCTGCCGTGTTATCCAGCAGCTTCCTTTAAAAACAAAATCGTTAAAGCTAAGAGTCGAAAAAATGTAAATGTGGTAAGAGGAACTGCGGCCCAGGTTTGCAATGTTAAGTGGAAAAGAACGACTAAATCTGTGATCACAAGGTAAAAGATGAAGCCATAGTCTTATTACCTGGGCACAGACCAGGGAGATCTATTTTGCGAAATGAGCATACCAACCACAAAGACTAAAAAATACTACGCCCGTAATAAAATAAGCACAGGCAGAATTTGTCATAGCTCAACGTTATTCTTCGAGGGCGAATGTGTCGCGGGTGAACTGCTGTCTAGCCCATTCCAACACCCAAGCCGCCCAGTCCGGCCCCCACGCCCCCCGGTTGCAGCCCTCTCTGCACACACAAACGCACACACGCCCAGTCCGGCCGCGGGAGGAAGCTAAGATGGCAGCGCTGAAGCACGGGGGCAGCGCTCGGTGGGGTGGGGAAAGAAAAGCAAAGCCCTCTGTGTTTTTTCGTTCTGCATAGGTCCCCCTCTTTTCCCAAACACAAGGGCTGCGTTAGGCATTCAGTAGTAGAGCTCGCAGGAGCCGTGGGAGGGGACGCTTGCATTGCATGCTGCCAGAAACCCACGTCTCCAATATGCGGCGACGGTTCGGGTGACCCTCGCTACTTGTGACCACACTCCACTTCACGTCCCCTTGACAGTGGAATTAAGGGTCACTCCAAACGCCTTTTTCTTTCTGGTATGCGCCCCACTCCCCCGCTATCCCAGGGGAGTCTTCCTATGTGCCCAGCTGCTAAGGCGGTAGCTGTGGCAGTTGCAGGCACCGGGGAGCGCGCCGTAGGGAGGCAGGAAGAGGAAGAGGAGGAGGAGAAAAAACGCTGCACTGGCTATCAATTCAGAGGAGAGCGACCGCCGCTGTGAAGGAAACGCTGCCAACCGCAACAGAAACGCCACCTTCGGATACTTAAGTGAGCTTGTGTGCGGCTCTGCGCACGCCTAGTTGCTCAGCTCAGTGACATCTGGCTTCTTAGGAAGTTATCCAGTTTCCGGGTTTTGAGTGTACCCAGGAAGCTCCGAAGGGGCCTGTCTGGGACTGAACAGTACAGTAGGGATTGAAGCGAAATTAATGAATGGTGGGAAGAGCCCGGAGACCAGGGCAGCCGCGCGGGTCAATGTCCACTAGAAACTCTAAATGGGCAGTGACTGCACATTTTACCACCTGAGCCTGCGCTGTAAATGTTTTTCTGTGCAAGCAACATTCATTCATTCAAGTAATACCTATTTCCCTCCTCTTTAGGGCTAGACTCTGTGCTAGGAACCTGTGATGATCGAACAGACACCATTGCTACCCTATGGAAAAGCTTAGTGTTTTGTTTAGTACGTGCTACCATTTGTGAGAAGTCATGTGTCAAGGTGGACATCCTAAATCCTTTAAGTCTTTCCTTAATCTCATGTAGTGGGTATTCTTTTGAGAATTATTCAGAGGAGATAATTTGCCCAAAGCCAGACAAGTATTAAGTAGCACAGTGAGGATCCAATTCCAGGGTTGTCTGATTTCAGCGCCTTTTAGCTACCCTGCTGAATCTTGCAATAGTAATGGACCCTTTCATTGCCTACCTGACAGGCCTTAGAATTCTTAGAATTTAGCTGCCCCTGTACTATTGCTTCGGCTCTGACTCCAGGGTGAAGGGCTGCCTGGTCAACACCGAGGTCTTTAACAATGCTGAAGCATTAGGATAGAAATTTAGCCTAATAAATACTTATTGGATACCTACTGTGTGCAAAGTCCTAAACTAGGGGCTGAGGAAGACACAAAAATAAACAACAAGCTCTGAAGGAACTTAAGATAGGTAAGGAAACAAGACAAGTATAAAAACTTAAGAGGGCTAATTACAGTACTAAAATACTATGATTCCACATGTCTGTCCCTTGTTCCTGTTTTTCCCACTGCTAATTATCTTTTAAAAAATCTAAATGAAATCTATTATTTAAAGCTTCAGAAAAAATGCATTGCTTTCAGCAACCTTCAACACTAAAACTAGAATTAACTTACTTTCCTATTCCCTGTTTTTTGCACTTCTCAAACACTAAGGAGGATTTTTTTTAAGAGAAGGCCATTCAAAGAAGAGGCACAGATATAAGAACTAGTACGTAGATGAAAGATAATAGTACTGGGATGACAGAACTTAGAAATTATTTGGTCAGAACTATAAATTAGGCAACTCTTCAAACTGAGAGTCAAAGGATAAAATGTAGTGGGAATCAAGCTGCATTGGCACGTGTATTTCTAGAGCATTTACTTAGATGAGGTTAGTAGGTTAGCTTGAACAAAGGATTGAGCAAATGTTACTTTTTTATGATAACAATGGTAAGATCCATGATGGATCTGACATTTTCAGATGCTATACAGTCTCAGACACAATTATTGTTTCAGATCATATTCAAGAATTATCTTTAAAAATGTAAGTCTGGGCAGAAAAAAAAAATAAACCATTAAATGACCACTGCCAAGAGATAAAAGCGCACTCTTAGGTAAGTGAGGAGTCAACAAAAGAATAATTTAAAAAATATTGTTGCATTAATATTTAGCTCTTTTTAGAACAAGAATTTGGGAATGACTCTGGCTTGTGAATACTAGGCTACCTGTTAATTCTACTTTCACACACAAAAAAGAATGTGCCAGATTACTACCTGTCTTTGTAAGTAAAAGCTATTTTAAACGAGCTTAAATGCTAATGACAAAAAACATCTAAAATAAGGTCGCTAAAGGCACTTCTAATTGGGATAGTCTTCTCTCCCTTAAACTCTGAATTAACCATCACAATTCATAGTAAATCTTCCCGTTGGCAGCAGAGCCTTGGGGAAGAGGCAGCAGGAGTGCGAGTACTCCTCTGGCGATGAGCAAGTTCCTTCTCGCTTTCTGGTCCTCGTTCTCCCACCTGGAGGGAACCTGAAGTCCAACGACAGTAGCTGACAGTTTCCCCAGCACTTTCCTTACTCTTCCTCAAGCTGCCGGTAAAACCCGGAGGAGTGGATTACTTCAGATTCCGCACCACCCAACCACACCAAACCCAAAGCCCCGAGGCGGAGGGAGTGGTGCGAAGAGGGGGTGGGGAGGAAAAAGGGCTGCAGTTACTGAGCATGTGCGAGGAGTGGCGCAGGCTCAGTGCGGCCGGCAGCTTCCCATTGCGGGTAGCCCAGGCGGTGGTAGCGGTGGTGGCGGCGGCAGTGGCGGCACCGCCTCCTCCTCACACTCCCGGGGTGGCGGGGTTAGATGAGCGGCCCCAGTAGCGGCGAGGGCGGCGCGGGGGGGAGGAGGAGAAGAAGGAGGAGAAGAAGGAGGTCGCTGTCTTTGTAGTCTCCCTACTGCGGGAGCCGGAGGCCGCCGCTGGAGCAGTCGTCGTTGGAAAAGGACTGTGTGTGCGCGCGCGTGTCTGCCCGCCCGGCCCGCGGGGACGAGGCGGCGGCGGCGGCGAGGATGATGATGTGCGCAGCGACTGCCTCCCCCGCCGCCGCCGCCTCCTCGGGGCTCGGCGGGGACGGATTCTACCCAGCCGCCACCTTCTCTTCTTCCCCGGCGCCGGGGGCGCTGTTCATGACGGTTCCCGACGGCTCCGTGGCTGCTGCGGGGCTGGGGCTGCCCGCCGCGGACTCCCGGGGTCACTACCAGCTGCTGCTGTCAGGCCGGGCCCTGGCCGACCGCTATCGGAGGATTTACACAGCTGCGCTCAATGACAGGGACCAGGGGGTCGGCCTCGCTGGACACCCAGCCTCCAGGTGCGTCCCCAGGGTGCCCTTCCTTGCTCCCCATGCTGCGCGTGCACCCGTGTGTGTGTGTGCATGCGTGTATACCTGCGCATTTACTGAGCGTCCAGCCCGCTCTGGATGCCGGGTGGTAGGGGCACTTACCGAGATAGGAGGGTGCGGTGGCTGCGGTTTCTGCTGTGTGTGTGTGCGAGTGTGTGTGTTTGCCTATGTGGGGGGATAGTGAGGGATGGTAGGGGAGCCTGTGATGCTGGAAAAGGCGAATGGTGCTAGTCGGCTGTGACACGTGTGTGTATCGCTGAGAAAGGAGTTGGCATGGGTAGGGAGGGTAAGTGAGTGGCAAGGGAAGTGGCGTTTTCAGTGTCTCTGCCGCAATGTTATTTGCACGTGCCCCCTCTACCATGACATCCTTTCCAGCCCTTTCTACCTCCCTTCAATCTGCCTTTTACTAAGGGGAGTCATGGTATAGATTAAGGGTGGTGTCATATTTATAGGTTGAGTTTTGGATGAGCAGGCCTGAGGGACAGGCCTGAGGTTTGGTTTGAAAAGATTGATGAATAAGGGACGCAGATGGAGATCTATGTAGATGTGAAAGGTGTCTGATAGAGATTTTTAGAGCTGTACTCTCATATCCAGGCCTTTTGGTTTTCTGAAAATGAGGTTGCAATTGCTCTTGTGATCTGATGTCCCATCGGCCATTTCTCTTCATCTTCTGTTCTATTTCCTCTGTTACTTACAGGCTTTAGAGTAGAGGGGCTTTTGTCGGGAAAAGGGGAAAACTGCAGAACTTCAAAATATGACAGCCGGTACAGCGTCAACTGCCACCAGCTAGAAAATCTGTATAATGCCTAGATCTGTCTCTTCCACTTAGGCTGGCTACACCTTCAGCTTCCTTGATGTAAATGTTCAGTTAGTTTCATTTTCTTTTTCTTAAAATATGGGTACTTTTTTTCTTTTTTTTTTTTTTGCTGAGGGCTCTCCTATTGTTTTCTTTTCTATGCCCTTACATGCTGCATACCCTGAAGGATGGTAACTGACTTGTTTCATCATCTTTGACAGTGGTAATTGGGAGTTGGCTTCATCTTTTTTCCCACAGCTTCTTGGAGTACATGGAGAAAACATAGTAGGAAATTGTCAAAATGAGTTAGAGTTTACTGTTACTTATTGAATGTGCAATTTATTAGGCAGCTATTAGATGTCTTTTTCTCCCATTGTGAAAGGGACAACAAGGCTGTAGAGTCAGGTATTTGTAGTTTATCACTGTATATTATGGCTTATATGTTGGAGTGAGTTATAAAGATGGAGCCTTGTTCACACTTTCTCTAGGTTAACCAGTCTTTTCATGTCTGTGATTGTTTACGGGACAGGGCACAGGAGTAGTTTTACCATATGGATATAAACATGTGTAATTACTTTTTGCTATCCGAAGGCCAGAATGGCACAAGTCTGTTTCTTGCTAATGTTTTTGAAAATAGCCCAAAACCACATGAGACAGTTTGGCCTGATAATTAGGTGTAATTTCGATCTGTAAATCTCTAAATTATGGCACCATAAGAATGTCTTTACAGACTCCTCTCAAATAATTTAAATTTGTTTTGTGTATGGTGTCCAGACTTATGCAATAATTTGTGACTGGTATATTCCTGTTTTGACTCTACTACTATTGTAATATGATTTCTGCGTATCTAGAACTATACTAACAGTTTTAGACAAAATTAATACAGATTAATCACATCAAATTTGTGAATGATTTTTTTAGCCTTTGGTCCATTTTTGTACAAGCCACTGATGAAAAGTAATGAAGAATTAATTCGGCTTTACATTAGGATATTGCCTGCTAGTGCTTGTTCAACACAACATTTTGGTTTATTAAAGTTCACATTATTTTTATAGAAAGTAGCCTGCAACTACTCTTTATTGATGATTTGCTTAAAAATTAAATCACATTTCTTATTAAAGATGATGGGGAAAGTAGATTTGGGGTTTCAGCTCTGAATGAATGATGTAGTTATTTGTACAGGGACACTAGCTGAGTTAGAGGAAAAGATGAGATCATTTAGAGAGACTGAACGGAGCAAGAATAGAGGATGAAGCTTTAGTGAGCATCAGGTTCAAAGGTGTGAGAGAATGGGGACAGTGAAGGAAACGGAATCAAAATTAAGAAGAGAACCCTGAGACAGCAGCCTCTGTGGCTCCAGGGGAGTGGATTGAAAATTCTCAGAAGTGGTAAATGCTGAAGAAAGTGAGAACAGTTTTCAGGTCATTGGTAACTTTTGAGGAAGTGGTCAGAATAGAGGGATGTGGTGAGAAATGAATGGAATGTGTTTGAGTAACTCAAGGGGATTTCAAAGTTGAGGGAAGGATATTCAAGTAGAGGAGGTTGGCTGGGATATGCAAGAATGGGAGGCTAAATGGAGAGACAGAATGAAGAAGTTAGAGAGGAGGGGATAATTGATAGGGAGAAGTCAAAGGGATCTCAGGGACAGAGTCAAGGTGACAGGTGGAGAGGTTAGCCATTCAAAACACTTAGTTTCAGCTAATATAGAAGAGATGGAGGTAAATATTTGTTAATATCAAGACTGGGAGTTTATTGAGGATAGAAATCATATCCTATTCATTTTGATAATCCCAATATCTAGCAGATTTTTTTATCATGAATTCTGTAAACATCAAGTGCTTGCTCTGTGCTAGGCACTATTGCAGGTGCTGAAGATGTAGCCGTGAGCAAGATAGACAAGGTCTCTGTTGTTTTGGAACATCCACTCCAGTGGGAGAAATAGACAACTCATAATTTCAGTTTGTAATAAGTAAATGTGAAGGCAATAAAACCTATTTCATGTGATAGGGCAATTTGTAGTTGGGTTATTTTAGGTAACATGGTCAGGAAATGTCTCTTTGAGAGTTGGCATTTAAATTGAATTGCATTGATGAGGAGGCAGATGTAGAGGCTGAATGTTCTGGAAAATTATAAAGGCCTTGAGATGGGAACAGACTTGTGTTCAAGGAAGAACAAAAACATGAGGAGTGAGTTATCAGTCAATGTTGAATAAATTAATTACTCTATGCTTTAGGTAGAAGCTGAGAGATTCAAACTTAATGGACTCAGTGACTTTGATGATAGTCTAACAAAGTGGTTAAGAGCTTGTACATGGAAGCTAGACTGGTTTTGCATTCTGATTTTGTCATTTGCTAGCTGTGTAACCTTGAGTATGTTACATAACTTCTATGCCTCAGTTTTTTAATATGTAGAATGGGGATCATAATACTAACGTGAATTGTTTTGTAGATTAAATGAATCAGTATATGTGCTTGGCATGTTAAGTGCTCTGAAATATTGTTGTTGTTTTTTTTCTGAGAGTGAGGGGTTTGGGGACTTGAAGAGAAGGCAAGGATCATGTCTTACTCTTTTATTTTTGGTCTCAATGACTGTGTGGAATGTGGGAATAACTCTTTCATTTATCCAGTGACTGAATATATACATTTTTGAATGAATGAGGCCAATCAAAACCGGAACATTCTCTTGGGGAAAGGAGTTGGACAGGAAATGTGTAAAGGAATGTTTGATCTGTTCTGAATGTGAATTGCGGTATAGCCACGCACTTGGGAGGCACCGCAGCACAGTGGCTAAATGTTAGAGCTCTGAAGGTAGACTCCCTTAGTTCAAATTCTGCATCTACTTGTGTTAAATTGGGCAAATTAATTAGACTTTCTTTGTTTCTTTACTTGTAACTTTATAGCATTATCAAAAGGACATGATGTATATATGTAATGGGCATGTGATAAGTGCCGCTTAAATGTTGTCTGTTGCTATTATTGAAATCACATTTAAAATTCCAGTCAGTATGGCACTGTATGTTTTTCCACACAAAGTAGAAATGGAGAAAACCTAGTTGAGTTGATTTGGCGTTAAAGAAAAAATGAAACGGAAGGTTTTGGTGACAGTGTTTGACCATACGGTAAAAAGGAGAGTGATGCCAAGAGGGAGCTGATAGACTGGAAGATGAGGAGGAGTCAGGGTGTCTGGGTCCTGGAGTCATGGCAGAACAATGTTAGTGAAAACAGTAGAGGGATTGCGACCAAAATGGAGAATCTAAACTTAACCCCCTTAGTTCTTTCAGCTGCTTTATCTCTTTCTTGTTGAAAACGGTATTTGAGTCCATTCTTCAGTTGCATAGGATTTTGGTTGTAAGAGGTTAAATGGTCATTTTAGCAAGAGTTCAGGGATTATTTCATTTTATTTATTAATTTTGAGACAGGGTGTCAATGTGTCACTCAGGCTGGAGCTCAGTGGTATGAACGAGGCTCACTGCAGCCTCAACCTCCTGGGCTCAAGCGATCTTCCTACCTCAGTCTTCTCCAGGGGCTGGGACTACAGGCATGCACCACCATGACCAGCTCATTTTTTATTTTTTGTAGACAAAAAAATAATTAGCTGGGTCTCACCATGTTGTCCAGGCTGGTCTTGAACTCTTGAGTTCAAGTGATCCTTCCATCTCCACCTCCCAAAGTGCTGGGATTACAGGCATGAGCCACCATGCTCAGCCTGTTCAGGGATTATTACTTGGCAGTAACCATTGACCCTATAAAAATTTATAAGACACAGATTCTAGATTTGAGTTTATTGTCTATCTGGGAGTGCAAGTTATAAAGGCAAATACTAAAGAAGTGTTAAATGAAATGATGACTAAGAAAGTATAACCTATTAGGACAAAGGCGTGGCATTCTAGGCTGGCTCAAAAGCATGAGCAGAGATGGGAAAGCCCAGTTTGCATGTGGGTAATAGTAGGAATTCTGTTAGAGCTAGAATGCAGGTGTGTCATGAGGGATGATAATGTAATTCATTCTGGAAATGGAGGCTTTGGCTAGGATGGGGCATCTTGAAGACCAAGGTAAGAATTATATTTTATTCAGTAGACACTGTCACCCTTGATGGTTTTAAGCTATGAAGAGATGTTATTTATTGTAGGAGTATGTCAGGAAGTAATGTGGGATTGCATCTGTATGTATACATC